ATGCCGCAGCATACCTGGACATGCCTGATGGCACACCAGCGTGCCACAGCACACTGGTTGGGAAATGCTGGCCTAGATCATCTCCAACCATTGGCTGTCCAACCTCTTCTTGAACATCTCCAGTGATGGAGAGTTCACAGATTCCCTAGACAGTCCATTCCACTGCCTCACTGTTCGTTCTAACAGTAAAGTTTTTCCTGTTGTCCAGTCTAAGCCTACTGTATTTACTCAAATATAAGATGAAGGTTTCTCCCTCAGTCAGCATGGGAAAAAATCTCTTGTCTTAAGCAGCATTATGTGAAAGTAAAAGTGTATTTATGGAGTACCTGTGCTAAAACTTGCAGTGGTTTCAAAAAAGGTAAAATGCATGAATTCTGGATGAACTAAGTCTATGGGCACCCATAGTAATGTGAACTGTGAACTACTAAAGATATGTTTATTTCAAAGTCTGTGTTTTCAAGTTTGCCCCTCCCTTTCATGTGCTCAGGCAGAGCAGGGTTTGATAGTAAGGTGGGGAGGGAGAGAGGGAAGAAGTTGAGGGGGTAGAGAGCAAGGGGGGCATCTGATCCCCCCAGATTTATTTTCCCTGCTGTAGCAGTAGAAGGGGGAAAAATTCAAGGCAAACCTCCAATATATAGATTCTATACGTGGAAAATTAAACCAATGTATAAATTTTCTGTACATAGAATCTAATTATTGGGGGGGGTTGTCTTATATTCAGGATCATCTTGTATTCAAGTAAGATGGCTTTGCTGCAGCTCCAAGCCATTGGTCTGCATCCTACTATCTGCAAGAAGAGAAAAAAATGTTTTCTCTCTCCTTTATGGCAGCTCTTTGGATATATGAAGTGGCTATCATGTCTCCTCGTAAGTGTCTTTTCCACAGGCTGCTCGTCCCTAACTCCTTCAGCCTCTCCTTGTATGACTTTCCTTCCAAGCTCTTTATCATTCTTGTCACTCACCTCTACACCCTGTAACTAACTCACATCCTTTTTAAACTGTAGAGCCCAAAACTACACACAAATTGCCCAAAACTGCATACTCTAAATGAAGCCTAACCAATGCCAAGTAGAAACACCTCCCGTATCTTGGACCTTAGCATTAGCTTGACATTCTGCCCAGATTAATTCCCCCTTCCTCTCAGGTAGAGTGCCATGCTAATGTGGTCATACTACTTTCAGAACCTGACAATTTCATTTAGAGACAGCTTGAGTATCTCTGCATGGCATTGCACTATACAATGTAGACCTATCCTCAGCTGGTTCATAAGAGCAGCTGCTAGCCATTTCAGGGAAACTTCAGCTTTACCTCGTAGCTCTTGTTAGTCTATTGATGTACTATCACACTGTTCAGTACTCTTATTACTTTTCCTCTGTATCTCTCTGTTATCTCTGGTCTTCTTGGATTGTAGGCTCTTTGGGGCAGGGACAGTTCTGTCCTTCTGTTGTCTTTTGTCATATACTAGGATTCTAATCTCTGGGGCAAGAAGTCTTTTTTTTATCAGGTATCCAATGCAGTATGTTCCTAATCCATAACTAGGGATCAGGCATACTATAGTACTACTTATAACAAATGGCCAAGTATAAAGGATTTTCACAGGAACAGTATTTTCACAGAGATAGTAATAAAAGATGCGCTCCTTACACAGTCACCACACCGTCTCCCACTAGATTTCAAATCCCTCTTCCAAAGCAATTAGACATTAGAACTGGTCAAAGAAAAGATCACAGGAATTTAACAGGGAAAATGTTGTATTTTCCTAGTCTTGTTCCTGAAAACAACTGAAACATTTTGGCTGAAACATTCTTTAAAAAAAAAAATCAGAGAGACACAGACATCTGAAAAATCTCAACCCAGACTTTTAAAACTTTGCTAAATTATGAGCAATAGAAAATCGGGTCTTTCTGTCTTAATATGCTAGCATTGTCTATAATGTACGTACTTACATGTATGTACAATTTGAGGAATTTAAAGCTGTAGCAAGTTATTTTTCAGCTAAAGCAAATGATTGAAACTTTCTTAGGTATGAAAACTAATATAGAAAGTATCCATCAAAAGTCTTAAAATGATACACAGCAGAGGAGAGTTTGTCATTCCCTACTGTGGTTTTTATGGAGTATCGGAAGATACATAGATACTGTGGAGGGGTCAGTGTCTAACCCAGTGCGCTCTCCTCTCCTTCCATATGTCAGATTGTTCCACGCGATAGTATAACAGTATTTACCGACTCTCGCCTGCCACGTCTTGATTAATATTTGATGTTATAAGTTGGGAGGTGTTAATTATTATCTACCATCATAATAGTTCTCAATCTATATTGAGAAAGAGGATCCCCTTTGTGACGCACCTTAGCTTCCCCTTTATCTCTTCTTTGTAGGGTGCCTAACTTGTTGACCACTTATTTGAAATTACAGCCTTACGTTATCCAGTTCGGGTTTACAATGTCCTTTATTTATCAATACTTAAACTTACATCCATTATCGTCTTGCACTTAGCAAGGCTATCCTTACTTATTTACATCAGTTAACTATGAATTTCAACTTAAGCAGAATCCCACTCAATTCAACTTAACAGAGTTACTTCTTATAGATTCATAGATTCATAGATGTTAGGGTCAGAAGGGACCTCTATTGATCATCAAGTCCGACCCTCTGCATAGGCAGGAAAGAGCGCTGGGTTCAGATGACTCCAGCCAGATGCCCATCCAACCTCCTCTTGAAGACCCCCTTGGGAGCCCATTCCAGATTTTGGCCACTCTAACTGTGAAGAAGTTCCTCCTAATGTCCAGTCTAAATCAGCTCTCTACTAGCTTATGGCCATTATTTCTTGTACCCCCAGGGGCGCCTTGTTGAGTAGGGCCTCACCAATTCCCTTCTGTGCCCCCATGATGAATTTATAGGCAGCTACAAGGTCACCTCTCAACCTTCTTTTGCAGAGGCTGAAGAGGTCCAGGTGCCCTAGCCTGCAAGCCCTTAACCATATGAGTGGCCCTTCTCTGGTTATCCACATCCCTCTTGAAGTGTGGGGTCCAAAACTGCACGCAGTATTCCAACTGCGGTCTGACCAGCATCTGATAGAGGGGAAGTATCACCTCCTTGGTTCTGTTTGTCATGCATCTGCTGATGCATGGTAAAGTGCAGTTAGCTTTTCTGATGACTCTTGTCACACTGACGACTCATGTTCATCTTGGAGTCCCCTAGGACTCCAAGAGCCCTTTCTGCTTCCGTGCTACTGAGCAAGTCATTTCCTAGGCAGTAGGTGTGCTGGATATTTTTATACCCTAGGTGCAGCACTTTGCATTTCTCCTTGTTAAATCACATTCTATTGTTTTCTGCCCATTTGTCCAACCTGTCCAGGTCTTCCTGTAGTTGTTCCCTGCCCTCCAGTGCATCCACTTATCTATCACTCTTGCGTCAGTCCTATCTTCATTGCCCTGGGTTCTATTTCTTTTCTTTTTACTTTGTTTCCTTTCAGGGTGTGGTCCCTCTTCCCAGGGACTTGTAGGGATTTCTCCTTCAATTGCCTTTTCCTTTCTCTTCTCCTGTTTATGTTCAGAGCTTGCTTGACCAGCAGAGTAACACTCTATGAATGATAACAACTACCCCAGTCCCAATATCCTCAAAAGGGCAAGAGGAGTCCCCTCTCTGTTTTCTTCTCCTCGCAAATTACCTCTCTATCTGCTTTCGTTGAAGCGTCTCCCTTTTGTTAGTCCTGGTTGTCCCCCTTTTCTCCTTTGGGGTCTCCTCTGATTTGGTTTTTTTCTCTCCCCTGTCCAGTTTTGTTTTTTTCCTCTCCGGATCTGCGCCTCTCCCACTGCTGCTGCTTCTCTCTGGCCCCACCCCTCTCTTCCGTGGCTTGCCCCAGCATCACGGAGCAGCTGCTTCAGAATCTCTGCTCTTTGCCTGGTTCTGTTCCTTCTTTTTGTTCTTCTGATGCTTCTTCTGCTGGGATTCTTTTATTTTTTCCCACTGTCTCTCCACAGATACATACATAGATAGTAGGGTCAGAAGGGACCTTAACAGATCATTGAGTCTGACCCCCTGCTCTGGGCAGGAAAGAGTGCTGGGGTCAGATGACCCCATCCAGATGCCTATCCAGCCTTCTCTTTAAGATCCCCAGGGCAGGGGAAAGCACCACCTCCCTTGGAAGTGCATTCCAGATTCTGGCCACCCTTACTGTGAAGAAGTTCTTCCTGATGTCCAGCCTAAATCTGCTCCCTGTCAGTTTGTGACCATTGTTTCTTGTTACCCCAGAAGGCACCCTGGTAAACAGAGCATCTCCAATTCCTTGTTGCCCCCCTTAATGAATTTGTAGGCAGCCACAAGATCACCTCTCAGCCTTCTCTTTCGGAGACTGAAGAGGTCCAGGTCCCTTAGCTTCTCCTCATATGGCCTGGCCTGCAAACCCTTAACCATACAAATGGCCCTTCTCTGGACCCTTTCTAGGTTATCCACATCTTTCTTAAAGTACAGTACCTAAAACTGGATGCAGTACTCCAGCTGCAGTCTGACCAATGCCGGATAGAGGGGAAGTATCACCTCCTTGAATCTATTGTCATGCATCTGCTAATGCATGATAAAATGCAGTTAGCTTTGCTGATGATTTTGTCACACTGACAACCCATGTTCACCTTGGAGTCCACTATGACGCCGAGATCCCTTTCTGCTTCTGTGCTGCTGAGAAAAAAGACCAACTCATCTCAGTGCTCTGAAGAGGCAGATCTCTGCTTCCCCTTTGAAGGGCCTGATTTTCAAAAGACCTGACTTTTCACTGTCTGCAAATCCCCCCAAGAGGTATCTTAGGTTGGTCCCTCAAGATCACTTGTCACTTTTTAAAATTTAGGTTCACAAATATATAAGTTTTGAAAAGCCAGAATCTTCCCCAAAGTAAAAATTGCACAGTGACTTCCTGGCCCCTGAAGTCAATAACACCCTTCCCTGGCATTCACTATTATTTCACATTAAATTCTAAGACCATAATGACTGTCTTTTCTAACCAGTTCTGTTTGAGATGCCTGTCAAAAATACAGTGATTTATTTCACTCAGAGTAAGACTACATAATCTAACTTTATGTGCATATTTCTTTAGTTGCAGCTCTTTTATAATGCTACACTGGAAGAGAATGAAAGTATTTCTACTACTACAAGATTACAGTCTGCAAAATTAGAAAATAAAGAGAGAGCAAAACTCATTGCCCGAGTGACTGAGTGGTTACAGAAAAATATAGATGATTGACTTCTGAAAAACTGTTTCAAATATATATTTTTAGAGTGTGACTTACTCACACTTTAATATTCACTTTATGGTTTAATTAGAGGATGCACACATTTTGTTGTGTGAAGGAATGTCACCTTGTATTCCAAACCAAAGAAGTCTGGGGTTTGCCATTCCAGCTGCAAAACAGTGCTAACCTGATTCATCAAGGAGGAACGACATTCTACAAGATGATGACAAGAAACATAGCTGCATATAGATTTATCTTGTTTACCAGCTGGGTGATGCTTGAGAGACTTGGTTATAAACAAAGTCAGGAATATTCTGCAACAATGTTTTTAATATGACAACACTTCAGAGGCAGTGCTTTCAACATAGAGCTGCAAGCTGGGGATTCATCTCTTCTCTGTCACCAATTTGTTTTGTGATCTTAGGCAAATCACTTAATTTCTCTGAGTCTCAGTTTCAGTACGTCTGAAATGGAGATTGTTTCGGGAAGTGTTATTGAACTTTAACTCATGAATGTGTTCTGATTCCCAGAGGTAAGGACAAAAAAACCAAAACTTTTATTATAATAAAAAAATTATTATAATAAATGTTTTGCATCTATGTCATTTACCCTTCTTTTGAGGGTAATAACTAACAGCCAGATAGAACTCAGGCTGTTACTACTAAAATCAGTGTATTAAATTTACAGTTGGTGGAAATATGGACTCCTCAGACAGTTTAGTCATTTGTATGCTAAACAAATTATGAAAAAATGAAATTGCATTGTCCAGGGAACAGAGCTTTATTATGTGAGAACTCAAGGAAACCCAAGAAGAACTAGAAGGCAATGCTATAAGTGGACAAAGAAGAAAACAAAACAAACCCAAAGCAGCACACAGGTTTTCAAACTTACACTTGCCAATGTGGAAATTTCTTTGTCATGCTCCTAATAAAATTTATAGCCATTTTCTAAACTGACAGCCACATTCTTAGTCCCTACTAAATCTCCTTTGCATCTCTCTGGTGATATGAATGGGAATTAAAACTGGTTTAAGAATGTACCGGAGGATTCCAAAGGGCAGGAGCATCAATTGCTGATACAGCAAGCCATATGTTAGATGCTCCTGGTCTCCCCAGGCATATTTTAAAGCTGTTTTAGTGGAGGTAGGGGTTGTTTTGACCCCCAAAAGACTCCAGGATTGGGAATGAGGGTGCTAAATGACATCTCTGCTGCCCCCACACAAGCTGAAAACTCTACAAGCAGCTCATAGCAGGATTAGGTATCAAATTTTGGGTAACCAGATTTGAAAGTTTTGCCACTAAATTTAGAATACCCAAACTACACAGCTATTTGCAGCCTCTCTCCCTTTCTTGTTTACAACATGATTACATTTTTCAATTAATGAAAATACTTGCCAATATAATTTACAAAATAATTTTAAATAAATTATTTTTTAAATTACTGCTACTGATTAAGAATGTGTCTGTCTAACGTATATCCTCAAAGAAATAATACAATGATTGATTTTCCTACAAACTTATACAATGCTATAAGTTTGTAACCTTATAAAGCCTGGGACTAAATACCAGGAGGAAAACACAGAATTACCAGATGCCTCATCATGGGTGCCATCCAAAGAAGGGTAATATGCTGGAAACTCATTGATATTGCTTCTTGCTGTGCTGAGAAAAGATAGCCTAAGTATTTGGCCCTTTTCTAGCTAGTTGTCTGAAATAATTATAGAAACAGAAGAGTCAGGAGAGAATGATTTAGATTTGTCAGAAGATGAGAATAGTGGCACTCTATATCTGCTGCTAGTACAGACATTTTGCTTGGCTATATGGCTATATGTCATAAGTAAGTCTTTTACAAGAGAGAGTGAGCAAGCTGGTTCCATTATTAAGCTAAGGTATTTAAACTGGACCTGAAATAAGACAATAGATGTAATTTTTACTTTTAAAAATAATCATTAGAAGTAGGGGTGCACCGATAGAGATTTTTGGGCTGATACTGACAGCTGATTTTTAGGGAGGCATATTAGCCAATGCTGAGCCGATTTCTGATACACAGCCCGGCCATTTGAAGAGCAGTATCTGGCTGTTAAGTCTGTTGTGGGGGAAGGGAAGGGGTGTGGGGGGCAGATTGAGGCCCCTGTAGTGAGAGAGGGAGAGGGAGTGGGACTGCGGCAGCTGCTGCCCAGCCAGAGCGGGATGTGGGATGGAGCCGTGGCTCTCCCAGGGGGCGTGGGCAAGTGCAGCAGCTCCCACATCTGTACACACCTCTGAAGGGCGTGGGGGACATGTCTCCGGATCTGTGTGGGGCAGGGTGAGCTGCCGCTGTGGGTTGGGGCTGCGCCAGACTCTTCCTGGCGTGGGACTGGATTGGATTGCTGTCAGGGTAGATGGCAGTGGTGCTGAGAGGGGGGGCTACAGGGGGGCTGCAGCCACTCCAAAATTTGCCTTAGTCCCCCAATCCTCCTCCAAGTGCTGCCACCACCCACCCTGAGCACAGCCTGACCCAGCCCCTGCCAGGAAAAGCCCAGTGCAGCCCTGGCCCCAGCCCACAGTAGGAGTCCTCTCCACCCCATGCATATCTGGGGCCACATGCCCCCCATGCCTTCCTGGGGTGCATGCAGTAGCGAGAGCTTCAGCTGCCCATCCCTGCACCCCCTGGATGAGCCATGGCTCTGTCCTGTGCCCTGTACCACCCTGGCTGGGCAGTGCCTGCCCCAACCCCACTCCCTCCCTCACTGTGGGGGGGCTCAATCTGCCTCACCCACACTCCTTCTCTTCCACTACAACAGACTTACCAGCTGGACACAGCTCTCCAAACTGCCAGGCTGTGTTCCTCGCCACCTATGTGCTGTGTTTCAGCTACACGCATTCACAGGGCATTTATCGGCCACATCAGGCAAAAAAAGCTGATTTCCGATGAAGTCGATTTTCTTTATGTTGGTGCCAACCAATGTATTAGAAGCAGAACCACAATTAATGTCAGAGCTCTGGCATGCTATAACTAGCAGGAATAAACTGCTTTGACCTTAGGATGGTGATCAGCCTTAGTAAGGTGATCAGTCATGGTCAGAATTGTAGAAAAAACACTGGAGATAGCTCCACAATAAAATCTAGGATGATAGCCAGGGCTGTCCCTAGGTGGGGTGAATCGGGGCGACTGCCCCAGGCCCCACACTTTGGGGGGCCCTGCAGAGCTGGGCGGAGTGGTTGCAGCGTCTCTGAGCTGCCAGTGCCGCCACCAGCTTCACATCCAGCTGCTCAGTAGGGCTGTGCAAAGCTTCGGTCCCTTTTTGGTGGCTGAATCTCCAATTCTGAATTGAATCAGGAGGCCCTTTAATCTCTCCAAATGAAATTTGGAACCCTCCAAATCAATTCAGAAAGATTTGGAAAGATTCAGAGATTTTGATATAGACGCAGCTTTAAAAGTTTTTCTACATACCTCAAGGTAGCAGGCAGGTTGTTAATGCTGCAGTGCTGGGGCGGATGAAGCATCCCACAAGAACATGGGGGGTGGTCCCCAGCACGCTCAGCAGCAGACCCAGAAGTGGACCAGAAGCATTTCCTGTCCACTTTCAGGTCTGCTGGAGAGCGTGCTGGGGGGCCTCCCCGCACTCCCCCAACTTGGCGATTGGTACCTTCTGGGTCTGCGGGGGGCACCTGGAGTCCCCCCACAGCCAATTGCTGAGCTGGGGGTGGGGCAGCGTGCTCCTCAGTGGACCCAGAAGTGTACCGGATGTATTTCCAGTCCACTTCCGGGTTCACTGCCAAGCATGTGGGGGGGCCCCTGTGCTCCTGTGGGATGCTCCATCTGCCCCAGCATCGCAGCATTCACAAGTCGTGCCTGGTACCTCAAGGTGTGTAGAAAAAATTGCGTCTATGTCTGAATCGCTGATTCTCTGAATCAGCATCGAATCTTCAGATTCAGCTGAATCAAATCAGGCTCAGTGGTCCAAGTCAACAAATCAAATCACTGTCCCTGATTCGAGCCAAATCAAATAGGGCTGGTTTCACACACCCCTACTGCTCAGCACCCCCACCCCCACTACTGCTGAATCTGCTGCCAGCTTCTTCACAACCGGTGCACATGGGGGCTGGGCCCCACACCCTGCACGAGTCGTCTCTGGTGATAGCAACTCATAGCTGAAGAGGGGTTGGAAGGGGTTGGCGGAGCCCTCGAGGCTTCTGTGAAGGCTTCTTGATACGGTCACATACTTCACAAGTGCAGACAAAGGTGTATATTGTCTTATGTAACTGCAGCCACCAGAACTAGTGGGAGATGAGCCAGCCTATCCTTAAATTTTACCATGACAGAACATGGAACTGTTCCCCTCTGACCTCTGATCAAAAGAAAAGCCTTAACTTAGCATTCAGTATGTGAATAATGTTTGGTATGGATTTACTCTGTTATCTTTTGAAGATCAGCTGAAGACAAACATAGCGAACTTTATTAGTAGTCATGGATGTTTCAGTCACCAGTTGGCTCTGAGGCCAAGTTGCAGGCATGGTTATTTCAAAGATTTTATAGACATTAGGGCTGGAAGGGACCTCGGAAGATCATCAAATCCAGCCCCCTGCCCAAAGGGCAGGAAGTCAGCTAGGGTCATAGGATCCCAGCAAGATAAGCATCTAATTTGCTCTTGAAGGTGTTCAATGTAGGTGCTTGAACCACCTCCGATGGCAGGCTGTTTCAGACCTTACAGGCTGTTCCAGACCTTATTATGTAAGAGAAGGCCAGTTATTGCCTCCCTGCTGCTTCCTTATCACCAGGGATCTGGGTTTTCCATTTCCCATGGAAAACAAAAAAATGAGGATTTCCACTTCTACCTGAGGTAAATGCAGATTTTTCATTTTAATGGAGAAACAAGCAGATTTTGACTTTTGACAAAGAGCTCTCTCAGGCTGGCAGTTCCAGCCTGCAAGAGGCTGGGGGGAGTGGGAGGAGGGCAGTCAGGCAGGGGGTGCCATGTGTATATATGTGCACATGGCCACCAGGCAGCCTGGAGAGCAGCTCCCACAGGTAAGTGTGGCAGTGGAATGGTGGAGATTGAGGTCCCCATAGGGAGGGAGGGAGGGAGTGGGGCAGGGCTGGGGGCTTGGGGCCCAGGTCTGGAATGCACAGCCGCCAGCCCCAAGGGAGTAGGATGGAGCCGTGGGCGGCTTATCCGGGTAGTAGGGCAGATGGGGCCGGCTCTGCCACTGCACACACTCTGGGGGGAAAAGAGGGGTCTGTGCCCCCCCAGATCTGTGTGTGGGGCAGGGGCAGGCTGCCTGCTGTGGGCCCCTGCCCTGCTGCCCTCCCTTCAGGGTCTCCACAGCCCAGGTGGTGGAACCCGGTAGGTCAGGGCAGAGTGGGGCTGGGCGGGGAAACTCAGGGCCCCTACTGGGAGCTCCATGGTGCCCTGGTGGCCTGCCTCTTGGCTGCCCTGGAGCAGCAAGGGGCACAACTCTGCATCACTGCCCCCACTGGTACCAGGTGTGTAGGAGGCACGTCACCAAGGCAGCATGGAGCTCTCAGTGGCAAGGAGCTTCCCTGCCTGGTCCTGCTCTGCTGTGCCTTGCTGTGCTGGGTCCTGCCCACTGGGCCACAGAGACCCCAGGGGAGGGCAGCAGGATGGGAAGCCCAAGCCCACAGCAGGCAGCCTGCCTCTGCCCTGCACACAGATCTGTAGGACACAGGTCCCCCCTCCCCCTGTGGGAGTGCATGCAGCAGCATGGGGCCCTCCTCCCACATCCAAGCCCACAGCAGGCAGCCTGCACCTGCTCTGCCAGGCTCTATGCCGGACATGTAGCCCATGGGGGTGGAGGAGCCAGGCTTCATGCTCCGCTTCATTGCAGTAAGTGGCAGCCGGGGTAGGGGGCTGCAGACCTGGCCCCATAACCCTGGAAGCTGGGGGTCCTTGTGGGGGGCGAGGGGCACCAGCAGGGTCAGGGGGCTGTGAGGGGGGAAGCAAGGGGCACC